AGGGAATCGTCTCTGGTGCGTATGACAACAGTTTGGGAACTTGTGTTTGCGTTTTTTTTTAACCAAACTAAGAAGTATCACTAAATCCGAAAGGGAACAATAGCGTGTGATTGCCACCACTTTTGCTTTGTTTCCTATTGCTCTCTACTGCCAGAAAACAGCTTTATCTTCTCAATCTACACAGATGGATGTCTGTATCTGGATTTTGCATCTTCCCTGCAATTACATTGAGGGGAGAATGTATAATGGCCCAAGCTATTGCTGAGCACTGGAGCTGTAAGCACGTTAGTGCACATGCCAACATCTGCACATTTGTGTGTCCTGGGAGGAGGAGAAAGTTGCTTTAATGATTTTTTGGGTGGTGGGGTTGCTCTCACTGGTTTTCTTTCTTTTCATTGACTTTCTATTCTGGTTACAAATACAGGCCTCAAATGCTGAGTCGCAAGAACTAGGAAGTTTAGAGATGGAAAAGATAAGTATGAAGCTAGAAATGAGGCTGAAAGGACTGCAATAAAGCCATTTAGTCTTTCTTCTTGCCATTGAGACTCCTGTACTGGTCAGTGGTCCATCTGAAAGGTCTCCAGTCCACAGCTGCCCTTGGCCACTTGTTGCAGAGCTCTGCTGGGAAGACTTTCTGGGTCCCCAACCTGAGTGAGTCTGTGTTGTAGCCCCAACACAAGGGCTGCACTTTTAGACCACTGCTACTTGTCCTGTCCGTCCTTGTCAGGAGAAAAGCCACCTGGCAGCAGTTGAGTGGCTGAGCTGAGTAGCTGGCTTTTGCGGGGAGGGTAAATCAAACTGAGGATCATTGTAGAGAGAGTTGGACCAGGAATTAAGGAAAGCACTTGGTCTTACTTTGTTAGGAGTTATGTAAAAATTCCAACTGATCTTTGTTCGGTCACTTTGTTCATCTGGTTTTTTCCCCCCTCTCCCTTGCTCTTAAGTTTTTTGCAGGCTGTTTCTATCAGCAACTGTCTTCTCTCTTTATCCAGTTGACAGATGGTATATTGACTGTCTTAAGGTGGAAAGCCTTCCAACAGAAATAACCTCTTCTACCACAGAGACCACTGGCTTTTTTTGCTTGCAGGTGTTGCAAAGGACTATCTTTTTATAGAATAAGGTATTTTTTTCTAATTGGGAAGGTGAATTACTTAGCTGTGCTTCCTCAAGCAGCGATGTATCTTAGTATACATTGATGGAAATTCTGAGCAATTTTCTTATGTAACAGTTGATTAATCAGATTATTTTCCCCCTAGGCTGTGTACCAGTATAGAGCTGACATTATACCTTGCATTAGTCTGGAGATAATAAGCCTTTTTTTTTTTTTTTTTTTTTTTTTTAATTTTACCTTTTTTTTTTTAAATTCAGCCTATTTTTTTAAAATGTTAACCAAGTTTGGCAAAAATTTGAAATAGTAGTAGTGAACTCTTAGATTGTGCTTAACTGTCCTGGGGTGGAATTTGAAGGGTATTTGGATGGTAGGTGATATATTAGAAACAAAAAGGAGTTTGCTCGAGGATTTCTGACTTCCTCCTAGGACAGCTATTTATGTTTTTTGATGCCTGAACACCTTTGAAGTTCTGGTTCTGTGCACCTTCGAGACACGAGTTGGCTTTCATCTAAAGAGAAAACCAAACCTTCTTCCTTTTCCAACTTGTAGCTAGATTTTAGCTTAGAATAAAAAGGTCCAAATGCAAACTTTTTCTTTCCTTGCTGGCTAGCAAAGATGGAACCTTCTATGTGGAGTACTTACAACTGGATCTAGTCTCAGAACTTAAATATGAGTGCCTCCCTGTTGTGCTTAGGGGTGTGTGTGTTTAATAAGAAAAGTGTCAGGTAAGCTTTTTATTTAAACTATTTCAAATACAGTTGCATTAAACATTGCCTTTCCTATAGCCTGTTTTGAAATTTAGTATTACTCTGATAAACTTTTTAAAAGGAAATAATATTTTTGTACTAAAAAAATGAACTATAACTCGTATCTGCTATGAGCTGCTGCCACTGCTCTTATGCTGCAGGTCCCTGGCAGCACGTTGGTCTCTACCTCCTTGGTCCTGTGCTTCATGTTTTTGCTGGTTTGCCCAAGTTAGACCCGTTGGTGCAAGCTGAGTGGAGCTCCTAGCAGAATTCGTTTCAAAGTTTTAATTATCAACAATCTTCAGGAAATTGCTAAGCAGCTAATTTTCTTTCATTGATACTTTAATGTCTTCCAAAGACATTGCTTAGTATACATTGGAGGTTTATTGGAAAAAAAATGCAGTTAAATTTGCACCCATGAAAGCTCAGGTGAACGGGCTTTGGACATGGTGCAGCTGGATGGCCAGCAGCAAGGCTCACCAGCTGTTTTCTCCCATGTTCAAGCTACCGTTGTTGTAGCCCTTCCCTTCCTCTCAAGTTCATTCTGCATGGACCTGAAAATCAATGAGATGTTCCCTTCACAAAAGAACTGGTGAAAAATGTTTTGAAATACCAATAACATGAAATTTGGCCCTATTTTGAAGCCTGCTGGTGAAATTACGGGTCAAAGGCCCATTCAGGATAGCACTGTATCTATGACTGGACATCTGGGTTTTTTTTATCTATGCAATTATTGTTTGTAATTCCATAACTTAAACTTTGTTTCCTTAAAGCAAGAATAAGCAGTGTCTCTATAAAGAGACGAGGATGCTAAATTCATACAAAATGTTAATACCAGAATGACAGTAATTACAGTCTCTAACTTTGTCATTCTGCTGGATTTCAAGATTTGAACAATTTACCCAACAATACCCTGTGGAGGTCTATACAACCTCTGGCATGTCCTCTTCAGCTCCCCAAAATAGTTCTGCCATCACTTAAACAGTTGCACTCTGTGTTTAATTATAGTATATATTTTTAAACAGCTTCAGTCCAATTTCATCCTTATTCAGTATTGCTGTATAGGAGCTGTGTGTCTATGTTGAGGTTCTCGGGAAAAGATCTCTCTGCCTTTCCTTTCTTTTTATCCATTTCTTTCCTTTGAAAACACCGTTCTGTGGTTTTAATCTCAATTTTTTCCACACTTGCTTCTTCTTCATTCTTGTTATATTTTCCTAACATACCTTATTTAATTCTCCTTCCTAGCTGGACCATCTACATACATTCATATGAAGATACCAATAAGGAGATTTATGTGTGTGTGTGTTTATGTATAAGTAATAATATGAAGTTGTATGTAATAATGTGATGTTATATGCAATAATATATAATATAGATGTGTGTATATATTTGCTATAAATAGGTGTACATATATATACACACATGTATTTTTTTTCTCCTGGTAGCCTCTATTTGTATAGATAGAGAGGGTGGGAAACGTAACAAATATTTTGAAAGCGAAGGAGGCTGACTCTAAAAGCAGGAGATGGGTTTGGAGGTGGCCATGGACAGGAAAGTTTCTGCCCTGCCAGATGGCAGCTGGGCTTTGGTGGCTGCTCTCTGCTGGCTGCAGGAGTCGACCTTTCCTTTTGCTTTTATTTTTTGCTGTTGGCCTCCCCCTGGCTTTGTTGCTCGCTCGCTCTCTGGTGTTTCTGCTCCGGAGGCCGGTGGCAGAGCTCCAGTACCGAGGACGATGCTGCTGGCCTCCGGCAAGAGGCGTGGGGCACGGTGGTGAGGGGAAGGCGGGCATCCCCAGGCACAGCTCCCCGGCCAGCACCCTTCTCGATGCCGGGGGGGGCTCTGCGGGGTCTTTCAGAACAGGCTGATGGCAGCAGCACGGGGTTATCACCGTTGGTTTTTAAATTCAAGTTTTCTTTCATTCTTTATTAGCAACTATAATAAATATTACTCTTTTTTACATGAAAGCTGCATAAATAGGTGGCCCTACTTAAGATTTTAAATTCAGTTGCCTGGAGCAAGTCCAACCCAGTAATCCTTTCAATGACGATGAATGGATGTGGGACTGTGCGTGAGAACCAGCTGGTTTACAACCCTCCCAGATTTCTGAAAGCTACTATAGACAATAACCACTGCAAAGTTAAAAATGGATATTTTTATACCTTAATGTAACATAAAATTATTCATTCTGCCTTGAGAGTAGTATATTTTCAGTAAAGCAAATTCCTGTTCGGCTGACTTTCATCTTGCTTTGCTCTCCTGCTTTGCAGACAAGCTTGGAAATTAATGAGGCCATGAACTGTTGAGGGTGTTATAGTAATAGAAATATACAGTGTGAGTTTGTTTAATTTTTTCTATGGTGCGTGATGGTTTAAAATGCAGGCAATTAAGTTTTCTCCTTTGCATGTTACATGAGTATATTGGATAATATCTAGTGTCCAGAGATACTTTCTACACACACACACACACACCCCGGAAAGTGAGAGAGATGTCAATAATTCTGCAATTCTCTAATTTAGATTTTATTATGGATGGTTTTTTGGCCTAAAGGTAGCTAGTTATGTTGTATTTTTCCTGTTCCTTATTGCACAAAATTGTACTCTGATTGAGCTTCAGCACTGTAAAAGACTTATGAAATGCTGATAATCCAGTTTTAAGATGGCACTATGAGTTTTAATTGTTTTTGTTCTTCTTGCAGATGTTCTTGAAGGCTACAATGGCACGATCTTTGCTTATGGACAGACGTCATCAGGAAAAACACATACGATGGAGGTACAGTGGCAAAATTAAATGAGTTTGGTAGCAGCAGTAGAGTTGTATGTACCAATTACCTGAACAAGCCAGCGATCTGGAGCACTCAGCTGTGAGTGACATATAAAAAGAGATCTGGGTATGTTTAGCTTCTACTGCCTTTTAAGCTGTACTGTTTCCTTCAGTGTGGAGGTTTTTTTATCGAGAGATGTCTACAGATATCTAGCTAAACTAACAAATGGTGAGTGAAAAATATCAAGTGTAGTTTCTCCATATTTGTCATAACAGTTTTGGTATGTGTATATTTTAAAGGATTTGAGTGAGATTTGTTGATCCACAAATGAAAACAGTAATAAGGGTCTGTAGAGTTCCCTTGCATGCAGGGTTATGAAAATTCATGCTTTGGTTATTGGTTTTCTCATTTGCACTCCCCTTCTGGGAATACTGCTCTCACATGCTGCAGCACAGATGGATGAATTTGAGTATTGTTGCTTTGGAGGAGAAGAATACCAAATTACACCAAATTCCACTGGCTGAAGTCCTAAGTCTGTTCATGTTTTTGATACATGATGTGTGACAGTGTAGGTTTTTTTCCTGTGGTGGTGGTGTTTTCTTTTTTTAAATGTTCACTTAGAAGACGTTTAGGTATTTTAGTGTGTTGCTAAAAAAGGAGGATCATTCAGGCATTTAATTCTCACACAGGATTGTTCCATCACACCGCTGTACAAGCTGGGTGTACATGTCTTGGATCATTTCAGTTCAACTGTGAACTTTAAACAGGAGGTCTACAGCAAAGTTTTGCTAAATGAAAGGAAAAAATGAGCTTTCATTTGTTTAACAGCATCAGATGGTTTTGCTACACAATTAACACGGGTGACCTACCTAACCTGAAGGTTAAAGGAGGAGGAAAGCAATATTCTCTCCAGCCAACAGGCCCTGGTGAATTTGCTGTTCAATTGCCACAGTTTCTCCTTTCCTGGAGGATGCAATAAGTGATGCCTCACGTCTAATTAAGTCTGTCCTTGCGAGGATGGGGGAAATCACTAGCTCAGCCCTCACAGATGGCACAATGGCTGAGTAATCCACCAGCTCTGAATGTAATTAAATCAAAATGTCTGCAGGGCTTGACCTGCTGCT